TGGTTGCAAGGGGGAAAAGGCGGATCCGGGATCCATGCGGATCTACGCGGACCCATGCGAATACATATTTATTGAACTGAACTGTCCCAGAAATCTCTGTTCCCACAAGCAAAACAAAAATGTTCTGTCTGTGGGAAAAGAATTCACAGAACACAACACAATTGTCCCGTTATCCAAGAAATCCTCCCAATAAAAGAACCGGACTGTTCTGTTTTGGGAGCAGGATTGTGCTGTTTTAGCGGAAGAATATTGAGACAGATCTGTGGGGATCTTTGCGGATCCGTGGGGATCTTGGCGGATTTACGGGGATCCCGGGTCCGCCTTTTCCCCCTTGGATGGTTGTCTGAGCGTGTGCGCAAAATATAGAAAAATGACTGTCGGATCTTTCTTTTTACGTTTGTTTCTCTGCAGTTGGAAGATAGATGTTTCCAGAAATCTGTCAGTTTTGACAACACAAAAAGTCATTTACGAATAGTAAAACTTACAGAATATAGTCTGACATGGGGAATCGATTAGGAACACTTCCAACTCGCTTGGAATCTTTTGAGTGTATGCAAAAAATGTTTTAGTTTTATGTTACATTTTGCGCTTTTTTCCGTAGAATAGAGAAGTTTGCGACATTTCTCAGCTAATCTGGATGCGAACGCCCGCCGAAGGGAGATGTGAGCATTGTTTTGAATTTAAAAATATCTCTAGACCTCTGTGGATCTTTGGAGCGTGATATGCCGATTAGTAATTACGTGAAGAAAGAGAAGCATCATGCCAGTGAGGTGTGTAACCATTTATTACTGCTGCTGCTTGTTGAGAATGTTCTTCACAAAGTAATGTGAACAAGAAAGATAATTATTTTAATCTGCAAAAACGATTTGATATTGGCCATTCCTTTCCAGTCAAGGGATAAGTGAATCAGCATGATGAACGCTACTTGTGGTTAGAATCAGCAAAGTTCACTCACAAATAAATTTGAAGCCTCTAGTCGCAACAGCTCTTGAGTTATCATAGGCCAAAAATGGGTAGATGGCGCTACAAAGATTTCGCCTCCGAGAAAGCAGTCAAAAAGCCTGAAGCTGTTTCATGTTGTGAGGATGATAAAGGAGAATGATGTAACAGGGCCGGATTTTTGATAGTTTTATTCAAAAGTGAGGTATGCGCGCTCCTAAAATCCTAAAATCGTTCCGGGATTTTCCAGAAATCTTTGTTTATAAGAAAAACTAAGACTTAACTTAAGACTCCGGCTATCTTACATTGTTTCCATAGTTCATACATTCGAAAATGATAAACACCTAAGAATATAATACGATATACTAATATTATCACATATTATATGAGAATTACAGTGACTGTTTAAGTGCTGTTTTTAAACTGGTTTTATAACGTAGCTTACGGGCTGTTTTCACACCGTAAATTAACGGTGCAAAAACGGCACATTAACGGTGACCGTAAACGGCATGTTTTTACACCGTTTTTATGATGACTGTTAACGTGCCGTTTACACGACGTTAACGGATCGTTCTGTTTGGCCTGGGTATTATATAATTTTTCACGGAGGCTCGATGCACTTACAGATTATCTCTTAATCAGGTCGTTAGCTCTGTCGTTCGCGACGTGTGCTAAATATAGTAGCATGAAATTCTTTTATTGGCGCCATCTGTCAAAGAACAAGTAATATTCCTTAAGGGCCCCCCGCTCAGAAATTATCTCTGCCATCGTACATCCGATCTTGACGAAACTTTCCACAAATGTTAGGCACAATGAGTTACGGGAACGAGAAAATTACTTTGTCTTAGGGTCTTACGGTTCAGAAGTTTTCCAGAGATCAAGGTTCAAAAAGGATCCTGAAGTGTGTTCCAAGATTTTTCAATATACTTCAAGCTGAAGAGTTGGGACTTGTTTTTATTTTAAAGTAGACACCTAACTACATGGACTGACCGATGTCGACTTTTCGATTAAGTCTTTATGGGTTTTCCAGGCAATCAACAACCTCCAAAATCCGAAAAATCCTTCCGAGTTTTCTAAAAATCCTCAATGTGACAAAAACTAACGAGGGAACCTCCCCAAGTGAAGGAGCGTTTTTTCCTCGAAACATACATGACTGTATGTAATCGACAATGCTAATTCTGAATATCATAGTTGGAGCGGCCCATGCCGTTTTGGAAACCCAGTTTTCCAGAAAAGCAGTTTTTCAGAAACTCTAAAACTAACTGAAACCTTTTCTTAATGAGTTACGATTGTAGCCCGCATATTTCTGATTAGAATGAGACATCTCCCAGCTCTATACTACCTTTCTTTGCAAAGTTATAGAATTTATAAGAAAAGCCCTAAATTTAGTTTGTCTTGTTCCTGTAGCTTTGAGCTGACAATGAACTTTCAGGGCTTTTCTTGTAAATTCTATAACTTTGCAAAGAAAGGTGGTATAGAGCTGGGAGATGTTTCATTCTAATCAGAAATTTGCGGGCTACAATCGTAACTCATTAAGAAAAGGTTTCAGTTAGTTTTAGAGTTTCTGAAAAACTGCTTTTCTGGAAAACTGGGTTTCCAAAACGGCATGGGCCGCTCCAACTATGATATTCGGAATTAGCATTGTCGATTACATACAGTCATGTATGTTTCGAGGAAAAAACGCTCCTTCACTTGGGGAGGCTCCCTCGTAAGACCTAATTCAAAAATCGGCGCCCATCAGTCCATGTAGTTTCTTTTCGTCTTTTAAACAAAAGAAGAATAAACTCTCTACGACAAACTGCTATTAAAAATCTTTGGACGCACTGCTGGTGTAACTCTTATATAGAGAAAACGCTGTATAAAATACTGAATTTTAGGACTTCCAGGAAAATGCCCATAACTTTTTGGATACAAGCTCATACAGAGTTATGCGAGGTCTTACTTTGATCAGAAACGTTTGCTCTACCAGGCAGTACATTAGAGCAAAATCAACTTTTTATACGAAGAACAGAATCGGTCCAAATTCTTTTTCTGAAGAGCTTATTTATTCGCGCCAAAATGCGAAAGTGATTTGAATCACGAGATGCTTTGCTGCCCGTCGATTCGTATAATAAGCTCTTCAGAAAAAAAATTTGGACCGATTCTGTTCTCCGTATAAAAAGTCGATTTTCCTCTAATGAATGCCGTATTTGGGACACTTTTTTGTGAGTGCATTCTCATGGTATTGTAGCTTGGAGCATTTCCATTAGTGCCTCAGTTATGAATCCCTTTGCCTCTAACGTGTCCTCAGTCATAATGCTTTTATGTCTTGGGTACTTTTACACTTTTCACAGTGTCAAACCTGCAATATTTTACTACTTTATAGCCATATTTTGTCTACTATAACTGATTTATTGATTCAAATTCTGGCTAGAGAATCTATCAGAAAAAAGCCTGTCTTCCTTATACTACACACTTTCGATCTTATGTCTATTTAGATTAATACTCAAGATCTGAAGAGAACACCTCAAAAATTTGTGAATAGCATAAACTGATAGAGCGTCATAAAGTGAAATATTTGCTGGAAGGAGAGTCTTGAATATTTTGTAGTTTCGGAGGAAAACAACAAATAAGAGACAAACGTCACTAAGAAAGATGTCTGATGAGATTTGTTTTACGATTTTCTCGATAAAAACAAAGGTGGAAACTAACTTATTCTGCACCATTTGCTTCACTTCAAAATAAAGTTTACTTACTGCGAGGCAAAACATTTTCGTCAGAATAGCCTCTAGAACTAGGTTTTAGATCTCTCTAGATTGAAACTGAAAAAATACTTTTTCTCTCGCTTTTCGATTTAATGTGCCAGGAAAGCAGTTTTTTTGTTCTACGCTGACCTAGTACAACCCTTTTTGGTATTTTGATCAATGTTCCATCATGGGCTTTGTCTAGGAAATGTTTTTACTGAACGATGCAATGACTATACCCCTCACTCGTGTAACTGAAAGATATAATCAAATAACTTTTGGTAGGAGCACTTTGAGTACAAGTCCTCTAACAGTGCAAGTATTTTCAAAAATTATAACGAGGGATGCAGTTAACATAATGAACGATACCGTATGCTAGCAGGTTACAAATGTTGAACGTGCTCGTTTATTTTATTATGATATCTTCTGACCTAACATTATGTCTTTTCTTAATCTTTGGCTAGATTGCATTCATTACTCTGCGGGCAGTGTCGTAGTAATATTTTTTGCGTGGTGGCTGATTCTTATTTTGTTATTAATGATAATATATTGTATACCAAATTTTACGTCCGGAAACATGTCGTTTAAACATTTATTGGAACTATTACACGAGGTAAGCCACAAATATTTCTCTATTGTCTCAAGAGAAATGTGAATTTTCAATTGGTACAGCTTGATTGGCAAATATTATCTTTTATATTAGGCCATTTACGATAACCTGTCCATCGGATTAGTCGATATTTTGAGAACCCCATTGAAAGCCTGAATGAAGTTTTTTGGTAACAGTAGTGACCTTCAATAGAGTGTTTGGCCTCTAGCTTTTTAAGAAAGCACTTTCAGAAAGAGTTATTGCAGCGTTAGTGGTTATTTTGTGTGCTCTTTCGAATGACAGATAAATAAAAATAACGTAAAATTTACCTAAGGACTGTCTTACAGATCGGTTTTCTGGCGAAGGCTGTCTCAAGGGCGACTGGGAAAAGTTGATTTATTTAATATGTCAACAATATCACGCTGCAGTTTGGTTTGTTGCTTTCAATCAACGTGTTTGTTAGAAGCGCGCGAAAACCCGAAGAGGAAAATGCTATATTTTGAGTTTTGAATTGCTTTTAACTTACTGTCCGAATTTCGTTCGTTATATGATCCAGAAATTTAAAAGAATCTGGAGTTCTACATACGTGTTGATCTGTCTCTTATTACAGTCGCCTACGTCTAAATCACCAGGTGAAGAGAACAATTGTGCTTCTTTCGATGGGAATTTGGAATTTCGAAATGTTCACTTCGGATATCCGTCACGAAAGAAAAAAGAAATATTGGAAAACCTAAACCTAAAAATTCAAAATGGTCAATCAGTGGCGTTTGTAGGCCACAGTGGTTGTGGAAGTATGTTGTATTGTATGTGTCTTATTGTTACGTTGCACTAACGTACATTTAGAGAGCACCATATTCAATCTTCTCTTACGTTTTTATGATCCGGATCTTGGACAAGTACTGTGAATACTTAATAACCTTTTCAGATCATCTGTATGTTATAAATCATTCTAGATCATGTTAGATGGAATTAATGTTTGTAGATTGAATATTGAAGCGTACAGGAAACAATTTGGTATTGTTCAACAAGAGCCAGTTTTGTTTGATATGTCAATTGAAGAGAATATTCGGCTAGGAAAATTAAATGCTACAGATGCTGAAGTAGTTCAAGCAGCAACCTTAGCAAATGCACATGATTTTATTATGACGTTAGACGCTGTACAAGCGCTTCAATTAATGAATACTTGTCAAGTTCATTCAGCTGTCTACTTTTAGCATTACAAATCCATCTGTAATAACAAGTTAAGCGGCGGGCAAAAGCAGCGTATTTGTATAGCTAGAGCTGTCATTTCAAACCCCAAAATATTACTGCTAGACGAGGCTACATCATCACTGGGTGAGAGGCACTACGCCAGATTGACAACGAAAATTTAATTTGATACATTTGTTTTAGATAATATAAGCGAACAACTTGTTCAAAATGCTCTCGATAAAGCACAAAAAGGACGAACCACGCTTGTTATTGCACATCGTTTATCGACGATAAGAAATGTTGATAAAATAGTTGTAATGAATAAAGGGAAAATCGTTGAATCCGGCACTCACGATGAATTGATTAAACAAAGAGGTTTTTATTACAATTTAACCGTGTTTCAAGAACAAAGCGATAATACTTTAGATGTAGAACAGGGTGAGTCTTTCAATTAATATTTCCTTGACTGAAAGTCTAGGATCACATGAAAAAATGTCGGCATCGACGTCCGCAAACGTAAAATTTCATATAGAGGATTAGGTCATCATCGATGAAAATGATATGGAATAGACAATCGATCATGGGAAGCGTTACAAACCAGAGCTGATCACCTGCGCGGTCACTGCGCACGGGCAAAATAAAATTTATCCGCGTTGCAGGTTGCGGGTTTAGAAAAAAATCTTTTGTTCTGCACAGGCAGAGGTTGAGGGTGAAAACTTCTACACTGCCCTGCAGAAAGATTGCAGGTGGATCCTAAGGCGAGGTATAATAATTTTTTTTCTATTGACCACAATCAGTGTGTATTACACACTGATAATTATAACTGTAACACCAGTTATTATTCTCTATTCTTGTTCTATATTTTTCTCTTTCTGTTATCGTTATAGTCTGAAATCTAAGTCTAAAAATTTTTCAAAACTAATTTAGTTTGACTTAATTACAAAGGTAAAAAGAAGTGGTATATTCGATTCTTGTGCATTCTCCAATATTGCAGTCAAGCTATTTCTTGTTTCTTTTAATGGCAGGCCCATTCAAATACATGTCGTTTTGTATACGATCAGTTTTTTGACAGGCAAAATTAAAATTTTTTAAAATCAAAACATGTAGAAAGATTTCTCTGATCATGAGGAATCGAATGGTACTATTTTGATTGAAAACAGACAAATTTTTCACCTTCATCTACGCCACACAGCAAACTGAACGGCCTGCCATAAATAGGAACTGTTCTCAAATATAGCAGTCAAGCTATTGTTGTTCCGACTTATGGCAGGCCTATTCAAATTACATGACGGTTTTACCTGTCGTCAGAAAAAGGTTGTAATTGCTACGCGAACAAAAAATAGCTTGACTGTCATATTTGAGAACACGCAAGAACGAAAATAAAAGAATCGAATATACGCTTCTTTTTATTATTTTAATTAAGTCAAATTAAATTAGTTTTGATAACTGTTTGCATAGCTGGATAGAGAATTGTCTCCTCTATCCCGGAATCTAAAGTTCCTATTATCACTTGAAAAATAGCTGATAAAATAGAGATTTAGGAAAAACAAAAATTTGCCATTATAAAAAAAAAGCCATTTTATCAGAGGAAAATGACATGGTAAATTATATAAGCGATTACAGATATAACGTTTGTGTCCTTCATCTTAAAATGTTTAGTAGACAATACAAAAGACCTGTTAGTTAGCTTCTTCTCGTTAAGGGATCATTCTGATCAACATTTCTCTTGGTCTTCTCTCGTTTTTTATTCTCCACGCAAAAGCGCTTTTCCCTACAGTAACTGTACTGCAGGAAAAACTTTCTCCCCTGCAGGGAGTGCAGGCAGGAAAACATTCTTCTTTCTCTGTCGGCCGTCAGTGGAAAAAGTTTTCATTCACTTGCAAACTGCAAACTGCCTGCACTGTCTGCAGCTTTCCGTCAGTTTAAAATGTAGGTGATCAGCTCTGTCAAACGCCCCCATGAAGCGATTCTTCTGCGCAGCACACTTATCTAAGAAACTTCTACAAGCAGGCATCTTTCTTACGCCTTGTGAGCCAGCGCTTGTACCACAGAAAACAATTATAAAGGCTGACAGAGAAAAGTACTCCACTGAGCTCTTCTTTCATTCATTGCTCGGTTTATCTGTTCCGGTCAAAAGTAAGTAAGAGTGAATTGCAGATGAACTTCCCTTGTAATTAAAGGTGTTCTAATCCAACCAAACCTTCAACGACTTGACATTAATCAAACCTTTCCTTCTGGTGCGCTAAGAGAAAAGACTACAGAAGCAATAACAGATCAGAATTTGTCGGAGCTGTTCCAAGATACTTCCACAATCATGCTCGGGCTAGTACAAAAAAATTCAACAGTCGGGATGATTGAAGAAATACTATATACAAGGTACAATCTTGCCAGCTTGAGAATTTCTTTGAAACTGATGAAAGAAAGTCCACTAGTCTCACATCGTTTTTTGTATAAAAGAAATACAGACATACGTAATATATGATAGTGATCCTGAGTATACTAGTCGTAGCTGCTGTCAAGTCTGCTTTGGAGACCAGTAATCACGTTTCCGAAAACCAAAACTTTTTTCTGGTTAAGGGCCCCTCCTCTCAAAAATGTTCGATCATGGGAAGTCAGAGTAGCGTTACAAACCAGAGCTGATCACCTGCGCGGTCACTGCGCACGGGCAAAATAAAATTTATCCGCGTTGCAGGTTGCGGGTTTAGAAAAAAATCTTTTGTTCTGCACAGGCAGAGGTTGAGGGTGA